TAATGATGCCCAATATACAAGCACGGCTTTGACATTACGAGATTAAAATCCCACGTAATAAAAGAAAGGGAGATAGAGAGAGATAGAGGGGGAGGAGGGATAAAAAGATACTGGAAAAAGAAAAGAGGCAGACTTTCGAACGGCACGACTAATACGATTATCTTCGGAGACATCATTTGTTTCGGTTAAACGCGTCACTCGCGACATTAATCAGAAATCGCGGAACTCTTTAAGGCATATATATATGTATATATAAATATGTGTAAATAAATACGTGAATACACGAGCACGTACGTTCTCTCGAGTGACGAAGTGGCTAATGTGTGGGGATTAGGTAATGATAAAAAGGATCCATAATCGGTGACAATTTCGTCAGACAGGTGGATCCCCCACGTGGATCCTGCTTTGTCAATGGAAATGTTAGAAGGGGAGACGAAAATTGGGGATTTTACCCTATACCGTATTATGGCTAACTATTAAGGCTAGGGTTGATTCCAGAGCATCGAAATAACAATCTCATAGAGTGTTTTTGGATATCAAGCGTAATGTTCGGTGTCTGGTCAACCAGATGCCCCGATAGCCCTGATATATTTTTTATTTATGTCGCTTGATGGGATTTTCATCGCTCTCATTCGTCGACGAAGCCCGATCAAATTCCTACTGAAATTGCCTGTACATAGAGAATGACATGGTATTTCGAGTTATAGGAATTTCAAAGTACCCGGACGAATTGGTAGTCGGGCATACGTCGATTATAAGCATTAAAAACAGACTCGGACGCCATAGCGCCATGGGAGATTGCAGAAATGAATGGGAATAATGGAAGGTGTAGAGGTGAATAAGAGTGTTAAAAAAGAGAAAAAAAAACAAAATCGGGGGAAATGGAAAAAAAGGTAAAAACGACGATCCGAGCTGAATTATCGTTATCCGAGCCCGGTGCTCGTACATCGTGGGAATCCCCGAGCTCATCCGCTCTTTGTTGCATGACAATTAAAATTAGTGCTGTTAATTACCGGTACGGGGCGCCACGTATCCAGGCTTGTTAGTGAGCGGCGAAAACTGCCGAAATTAAGCACAGAACAAAGTGTAATGCGCCCCGTCTAATGGCGTGCGTATGCAAATACGACGTTTAGAGTGGCAATGACTCTCGGTACGTCCGCAGATTTTTCGATAGGACTGAAAAATACAAGAACATCCCATAATATACGAAACTTCGTAAAAGACGTGAGATTCCTTCGCAGTAATTTTTCATGGTTCGAAGAAAAAAAATTTTAATAAAAATTTGACTAGCGAAAAAAAAGTTTTCCCTTCTAAAAATGTCCGATCTCTTTCGATTGGCTGCACTTCCTCGAAGGGTAGTCGTAGGCTATTACATCGCGCGTGCATTGTACCCTCGTAGGTGCACACTATTTGTTAAACAGTTACGTAAGTAAACACAAACAGAATCGTGATTGCGGTCACGTGGCGATGGCATTGCTCAAGCATAAAGTAAAACGGCGAGTAGGTTGGCTCCCTATATCTATATATACGTATAATACGAGGATCGAGGGTTGATTTCTCTGAATGGCTGTTGATTGTAATCATCGACTGTAAGTAATACCGGCGCGACTACGCGGCGTATACCTAAATCTCTGCGTATAACTAATCTACATAGAAAATAATCCCATAGTGCCAATAGCTTAATTACATGAGAAATCAAGTGACAGGATTTACACCCACGTGATGTACAGAAGCACCCGAACGTCACGTATTCGCATAGCGAGAGCCAAACTCATAGGAAACTCATAGGAAACCCATAGTACGCTAGAATATTTCTCGCATAACTTCCGAACAGTTTCCAGAGAAACAGACACGGGAGGTAAAATGTATTTTAGTAATGTATATACCTTCCTATAGTAAACCTCTCCCTATACGTCACACAGAAATGGCAGCGGTTTAGCTTAGCAACGTATATACCTTATATACACTATATATACCTCACCAACCATTTCTAGACTATGCGCCGTATCCTATACCTATAGGCGCATCTATCTATCTACCTCCTCGAATAACTGGAGCTCGAGCTTATGGATGCTGCGTAAAATCAAGGCTTTGAATATTCATACGTTTTCACCCTCTCGCGCAAAGGTGGATTCAATTACGCACGATTGCCTGACTCGTTCCCGTCGTTCTAGCAGTTAGGCCAATTTTCCGCTTATTGGTACGTAAATACGTATATCGGTCGGTGGTTTCCAGTGGCGCGAGGAAAGGTTCTCGCGATACTTACTGATAGATACGTATATCCCGTTATCTATATATGCAGCTCTCTATACGGATCCTTTGGAAATGGAGATCAAAGCAAGGATATATATGTATGTACGTAGTATGTACGTATACACAGTAAAACCATGACCGATGTCGAGTGTACAAAGTTCGCTCAACAGTGAAATAAGTTGAGAGGCTATACGTGTCGTTCGACCGTTCGCGAGGTCTCTTCCCCTCGGATGACTCGAAGAGCTTTGAATCTTCGTAATCGCGATAATTCATCGATTTTACGACGTAGACGAGGAGCGGGATGCTGGGCCGCTGACGTTCGATTGATATTGGGGCGACACGCATCGGTGGGCGCAGGTGCGTAAATGCATACAGTGCAACGGAGCTTTTACCGTAACCCAGATAGAAGTATGTGAAGTAGCATACGCGTAGACGAGCGTAAAGGTGCATTCCCAAAGCTGTGAATATTCCTATGTATATTTTAGAGGGGGTCTTGTGGCGGGGGGCTTTGATACCTATTGTCATCAAATGACGTACTGATGACACTTGGACTTTTATTGTACGCGGCACACGAGTGGATTGTGATAGCTGTCATAAAATAGATCAATTTGAACGGGCTTGATCGATCGGAACAAAAGTTCGATACGGGATACGAGCGTAATACGATATAAATTACGTTTGATGAGAACGTATTTGACATAGAAATATTTGTTGTTTCGTACGTTAGTCATAAAAATGGGGATGATCGTTTTTGGGGTGGTTTAGGTAAAAATCTGTTACCTTCTTTTTTTTTTTGACATATGGACATATTTTTGGGAATTCGAGGTAAGTTTATCGCGTCAGCCTGGCAGTATGGGAAATTTTTATATCTCTTAATCGTTATTGATTTTTCGTTTTTTACTGTTTGCAACAGTGGTGGGACTTTTGATTTTATGAATCTTCGTTGGTACGTGTATCTATCTGGTGCGCCTACTGTGTCACAGATTGAAAGGACGTCGCGCTCGAAAGCTTTGCAATTAAAAAGAGCTTCGCTTTACGTACAGGATTCTTTATGCACAGCAGTTTTGTTCCCTGGCGATAATAATTAAAGCTATGAAATTATCATTCGCTTCTATCTAACCTTGTTCTTTTTTTTTTCTTTCAACTTTTTTCCTTCCTTCGTATCTTCTTCGTTACTTCTCTTCGCTTTTATATTTTTCTCCGAGCATGGCTGGCCTTCGTTTCCGCATATATTTTTAAGCTGCTCGTTGCTCCGTTCAGTTCTTGTAACGCGTGTTAAATTCCTGCGCGAGTTTGGTTATAAATATTAATTTTGTCCAATACCTGTCAAAGTTCATAAAGATTCATAATCTTTCGTTAATTCGATCCAACGAAACGTAGCTGAGACGTCTTTCACGTGAAAAAGGGTAAAATAAAAAAATCATTCCTGACTCATCACCTCTTCATCTCCGACCCTCCTTCTCCGTGTAAATAGCGAAGTACACTCACCCGCTTGCGCAATAAGGGCCACGTCTGCCGCATAATACTTTACACCGTTTGTAGCCTCGTTTCCTCTCAAAGCCTGACTCACCGGAGCATCGTAAGCGAGCAAAGCCACAAACTCAGCTTGGAAGGAAGTAAGCTCGATCCGCCAATGTTGGCGATGCGGTTCCGCGGATAGGTCTAACGAGAGTAAAAAAAAAAAGTACCGGATGATCCCCCGTTCCCACGTTGTACGGCTAATTAAGGTTTTCGATTCGCAAACTGGAGGATCTTCGCCGGGCTCTAAAAAATTGTCAACCATCGAACGTAAGTACGTATAGATGCGTGTAGTAAAAATAATGTAAAAAAAGTAAAAAAAAAAATCAAATCCATTACAATAACGAATCGAATAATAAAATATCGTTACTGTCTCACGTAAAATGTTACGTCATACAGGGATTCCTATTACACGGGACAAATAGTGTTTTGTTTTGTCCACCGCTAGATGGACATCCTCACGACAGTACAGAACATAAACGTAGCTTTCCCGAGGGAGTTACGGGACATAAAATTCTGCGACTCCCTTTCTCGGGCTCTGGCGTCGAGATGTCGGGACTTCCCCGTTCCAATAACCATCGACCCTTCCTGGCCCTTTCTTGTCAACGCTGACAGTTGACCCTCCTACGTTGAATTTGTCCTACGATCCAGTATCCAGATTGGCGCGAACCCTTCCCTTCGGGAAGCGCCTATACCTTAACAAGACTGCGAATTGATATCCTGTTTCTCGGGCGACTGCCTCTAGCTCCACAGTATTATTTTCAAATCGACCTGATAAACGTCGGATTAATAAATTTTCATTACACCGTCAGCACGTCTGGTCTGGCATTGCGTAACTCGCATGGTGAGCTACACAAAAATCGATGGACAAGCTTTTAACCTCGTCTGACATTGAACAGCGAGTTATTGGAATTCCGTTGTTATCTTATCAAAGTGCAGGTGTGGGTACCTGGGATAATAATATTTGCTCGTCCCAATGCACTCATACGAATGCACCTTTACATTGCCAATTGGTAAACACTACGGATATACAAAAAGGAATTGAATTTTCTTCACGAACAAAATGTCCAAAGTAGTCACCACGTGGGGTAGGAGTTCCATTCACCGATAGGTACCAATTGCATACAGCAACGCCATCTTGACATCGAATTCACTATGGAAACACTGTAAGTAGATCGGTCTTATAACGAACAGGTTTTTCGGGGCGATTAATGATTATCATGCTGGCGTATATAATAGCTGCATTTATGAAAGGAACCCTTCATAATCTGCTTTGATTTTTTCTGACTCAATGCACCAGTTTGCTGGCCTTATGCTCGCCTTTTTTTTCTCTCCAAGATAATGACTTTGTTTATCATGTCATAAGGTGCGCTGTCAGGTGAAATATTGCCCATCCACTCTTACCGCACCAGTCAAGAGCGAGAGAAACGGAGAGGGGACGATCGCTGAAACGAAAGAGAAAAAGAAAGTGAATACGTACCAATGGTACATGCTTGGTTTACAAGAGAAAGAGAATTGCGTAATTGTCAAATGAGACCTGGTCTAGGTATATGGAATAGTATTAAATATACCTGTATATTGGTATACATATATATATATATGCGTCAACATATACGTATTATGAACCTGTACACCAGAACGGGGTTCATCGACAAATTGAGGTGACTCATTTCTTCCCGTTAAACCGGAGCTATGTGTGCTATAGGTGCAGTCCCCCAGTTTCATTTTCAAAGCCGCGTGCACACGAGATACTTACACCTGTTCAGGTTTACGTGTACGTATGGAGAAACAGTGATTCACGAATGCAACACCATCAGGATCCATCCCCAAGGCTTGACATTATTCTGCACTCGAGGAAAGCTACCTTCCAGTAGCATAGCGCCGTGTATAGGTATACACTCCAGTGTCTTTAATTTACAAAGCACAGCATAGACGATGCTTAGTATTCCGGTAGTAGCTAAAACAGATATATACAGGTATAGCGTGGACACGTATAAACGGATAGGAAATTGGAATACCTTGAAGGCGAGGATGAAGTCGAGCGTCGGTGTTATCCTTCCTCCAGGATCTTCATCTAACGATCCGTTTCCGTGAGTCATCGCGTTGAAATTCAGGACTCCGTCGACTTGCTTATAGAGTTCAAAGGACCTGGGCGATCGAACGGAACGATCGCTGCAAGAAGTAGTTGTCGATCGTTCCACTCGCGTAAGCAGTAGTGTTGTTGATTATTGGATCCTTATTCTGTCTGATAAAAAAATTTTCGAGCAATTAATATATCCTTGTCTTTGATTGATTTTATATATATGTATATATATATTTTTTATCTACCAGGATATTTCGGATATATTGATAGATCGATCCGCGAGCGCGGTCTGTACGCGTGTTGGGAATTCGAGCATATGTGCGCGCATGGTACCACTCATGCATTTTGTATCAACGAGCTGGATCTGTGATGGATCTATGCTAATGCAAATCATTAATGCATCCGAGAATTCTAATCGCGGTTAATCTCGTATAGATCGAAATTAAAATTCAATCGCACAGGTGGGCATCGCGTGCTGCCGAATCTCGTGACGTCATCCTCAAGGAACTCCTCTCTCTGCGGTCGTGTACGAAAACAAAATATAATACGAAAATAATAAATAAATATTTTAAACAAATATATATAAAATAAAGAGGAAGGGAAAAAAACGAGATGTACGACGTGATTCCTCGTAGTGATAAACATAATAATAACCGGCAATTAAAAAAGAAAGAAAAAGCTCTTTAATCGCTGAATTTATTTCGCGCTTCTTCTCGGAACGAATCTTCGTGTCGGATCGCGAGATAAAATTACGGGTGATCTTTTATTTCGTATATTAACGAAGACACCGTAGGCATCGCCGTACAGTGGTTGCGTTGCATATATCCTTCGTATAATAAATAAATACTTAAAAGTGAATAAAAAAAAAAAAATTATACCGTCAAATCGATTTCGCAGAAAAATTTCGACTTCCTGCTTGTCCTTTTGCAATGTTTGCGTCGCTAGGCGAATTTCTTCCTGGGGGATCGGAAGGACGATACCCGAAGGGGGTCGAAACGATAAATCTAGTAAACGATGTAAATTCGAGAATATTAATGTAAATTCATGCAAGTAGTTCCTAATCGCCTTTGGTACACCTGCATTGCCATATGGTGTTTTCTAGTCCTACGAGCGTGATCTATATATACGCATAATACGTGACCCACCCCATTTTTTCTACCCCCCATATAGGTGAGCTCAGAACTATTCACCCCAATCCCAATTATACAAGGCAACCCTGACTAGACGGATTACAAGCTATTATGATTCGGGAAGCGAAGGGTGTCTCAGAAAAAAAAGAAAGAAGAAAGAAAAAAAGAGAAAAGATAAAAACTATACCAAAAATATATATAACGGGAGCATATGTCTAATAAGATTGCGTGTTCCATGTATTTTCGGCTTCGCGAACGTCATCGATTTCGAAAGAGTCTCTGGCCATTCGAGTCCTTGAGAACGAGTGTTTGTGGCCAATGGCCTCATCGATCAAAAAATCAAAAAAGCCACCGACCGACAGATTTTTCAAGATCAAGATTTCGCCATGTCGATATATGTATTTAGGCATGTATACTGTGCGTTACTTGGTTATACTTCTTACGTAGCCACGTATGCATATGGTTTCTTATTCTTTTTCTTTTTTTCTCCGTTTCTACCTCTCTTACGCGTTCCGCCCTTTCAATTTCCTTCTCTTGCTTGCTTTTTATTTATTTGAGAAAATCCGCCACGCCCGGCGTGTTATGCTACGAGGTTACGGTGTGTTGCTGGGTATAACAGTTTATTATCGCACATGTGGGTTTAGTCTGAGAGGTGTCGCCGTAAGTCAGCAAGGTTACTACGCTCTTTGGCTTCCTTGGGTCTCGCTCTTCTCCGCGGGCCACTGAATAAAATGAGTTTCGTCCGAGCGAGGCAGACGACGAAGGGATTGACGTAAAAAGGAGTTTAGATTTGACCTGCTATAGTCGGTGTGACGTTTCTACCTTTTTTTTCAAACCGTCGGACTTTACTGTGGAGAGAAGATAGTTTGAGACGAAGAAGAGGAATACGGCGAACTATGGTATGACAGAGATTAAAATTAATTTTGAAGAAAAATTTTTTGGATTTTTCTTGTACGCTCTTTTTCGGATACAGTGTGAAAAGTGACTAAATGACGTGAAATTCATATAGGTATCATCCTTTTGAGCCCCAATAGGATACCCGCGAATGGTATCGAATTTTGAAAGGTTTTTTTTTTTTTCTAGAAATTCTGATCGTTGACCTCTTCATAAATAATGAAAATCCGGGTATATCTTTTGAAAGATCAGGTTGGGATAATGAGAGGCAGGGGCTGACCTGCAGGTGTGGGATGGGGACCGGCTACCGGGCTACGCGTCATTGGCGTAGCTATCAAAAAATCTTGAGACTCGTAAAAAAGTGGAGAAAATTCACATCTCGAATTCAAAATAATAAATCAATTTTTTTCCCTCGGCAAAATAGCTTCTTAAATTCTCCCCTCTCAGTTCTACTAAAACGTGACGTATTCCACTCGTAATCCCAACGAAACACGTAAACCAAGTACCAAGGAGAATCAAGCTAATTGCTACGTTTCCTCAGGAGAATCCTCATTAGTGCATTCTTCTGCGACTTTTCTCAGTATGTGCTTGTCTCGTGTGGACATGCGGATATGCCGGAATGTAATTTCGTCTTCACTAAATTCTCCCGCCAGCGTAGCCGCCCGTTATTGGCTTTCGCAAAGTTCCCAATCCCAGTAACTATTAAGATCCTCGACTACTATGTCTCTACCTAAACCTACACCTACAACTATAGATCCCATACCAGGAACGTATTAAAAATTAAGTCTACGTATTCAACTATACGCCCAAGGCAGAATAACGCGTTGATACGTACATTACACAGTACCTGTGTACTGGCCTTAAGTTGGCATTTCACGAAAACATTTTATCATGATAGGATAGGACAGTTAGGAACGTTAAGACGTTAGAAAGTACCTAGGAGGATGAGTATTGTGATACGAATATTTTGACAGTCGACGAATAATACGGAATTACTTAGAAAAAATAAACTAATAAATAAATTATACCATATCCTCCTAATAGAATATTCGATAATTTTTTCTAGCAGATTTACGTAGGATATAGGCCAAGGTGAAAAGTGGGATACCTAGATAGGCTGCGCATAATTGAATTTCGAGGAAATTCATATAGAGGCAACGATTCCTTAAGTTCTGTCCACACGAGGGCTTCGAAGGTTTGTTTAACGAAAATTGCTGCATCACTGTCTAGTCATTTTGATCGGAGCGAAGTTCGATGACGGTCGATGATGACTTTGATTCGCAAACACGGACCCCAATTACACGGAGTATCCATACGGTAGCTGACCGTGCATTAGCTGCATCAACAATGCATTATTCAGAGCATACACGTTATGTTGACGTATTTGGCTCGTTTCGTAATATGATTGTTGCGATACGCTTCAATATGCATGTAGCCGGCAGGCAAGTGTGAGTGTAGATTTGATCGAAAGGTTTTTGTATTTTTGAAAATTGTCGGCGTGAAAGAATTCGATAAAATCAATAGAAAAGAAAAACAAAAAAGTAAAACAAAGCAGAACAGAAAATGCAGAGTAAAAATAGTCACTGAACTATGCTGTTAATTGACCCAAGCCGATGGACGATGTATCTTGACGAATTCGCACGTATTTTAATCGTGACTCAACTACTAATGCACTTCTATTGTACTTCTCGCTGTGTGCCATTTTACTTACTATTCTTTACTACACTTCCGCGTACATGCTTGGATTGATATCGACGCCGCAATGTTCCGTTCAGGACATTTATGCTTCTGCATAAATGTATCTACTAACGTAGCTACTGTAAAGTAAAGCAATCAATAATAAACACTATCACTGATCACTACAAGTCAGCTTAATTAATGCAATACGTTAGATTTCAAAAGAGTTAACCGTTACCGAACCAGTAGATACTTCAGTGTACATACATACCTCGCAATGTTCGTAGTGTATGGTTAGGTTAGGTTAAGTTATAGCGACATGCTCGCGCGACATTATCGAGAGCGATTTAAATTAATAAAGCTAATCAGGATAATCTGTCGTGGTGGCGCTGTGAAAGCAAACGTCATCAGCCATGCGTACCGAAATATGCAAATGGATGATAGCGTCACCGTCGCGCATCATCACTCAGGTCGAGAATAGTCAGATGTATGCAAGCGTCGATGATAATGAAAACAGTGCAAGAGGGATTGGCGGAGTGAAGCGAAGGGCTGGAAGCGATCATTGCAGCCATCAGTGAGATGGCCAGCTCGATGGGCGATCCATTAAATGACCCCAGTTCCGTTGCTCCACGCAGGTCGCATCGCACAAGTTAAATATGCACTGTTCACGCAAAGGGCTGCACCACCCGCAGGGCCCACAATGTGTACAAACAGAACGAAATTACGAAAAAACAAGTAGAAGATAACGGATAAACCGTTGCGGGTAGAAAACGCGAGTCGATGTTGCTCGTAACTTTAACGAAATGCCGAGCGACGCATCGCTAGTGCCATCTAGCGGCGTGTACCTTTAAACAGGACGTTTGAAGACATATCGAATGGCGTCGTGGCGACGGATTTGCATGAGACCTCGTTCCGGTTTAAAATTTTTCTTAGTGTACTGTAGTGACGGCGGATCATAAAGTTAAGTAGTACCCTCGAAGCAACTACCCAAGGAATGGCAAAGTGGACTGAGGACGGTTTAAGGAGAGTGCTGGTTTCGTTTAGTGGCTCAACTGTGGATTTAAACAGTTTTATATCGGCGTGCCCCGGAGTTGTAAAACGAGGAGGAGGCAATGAGCCAAGACGTTGCTCAGCGAGAACGTAGCTCACGGTATCGATGCGAACTGGCTTTTCCTTTCGGACTGTAACTTTGTTCATGACCTTTTTCCCTGTTCCACCTTACAGACTCGCGTATTACGTCCACTGACATAACCTATAATGATGTCAGACTTCTTATGCAGGAGGATCATTGCCGATACGGTAGTCAAGATATTCGAATTGGTGAGTACCGTAAAAATTACTAGAGTGCGTTAAAGTTTTTATTAATTGAATAATTGAAATGTTGACTGTAAAAAATTCGTTTGGTAGTGAACCGATATTGTCCCGACTAATCAAGTAGATATGTACGGATAACTGTCACAGGGATTTGGTTGGATTTATCCTACGTGGTAATTCGTAGCGGTACAATTTCCCCAAATCAAGCATCGACATCTCGTCTCAACTAAATGCCTCGAGATATAGGTCGGCTTGGTAGCTATCAGGCAGCCTCAAAGTTTATTGGCCTAATTTAAATAACAGGCCACGGGATGGGGTCCTATCTCATCCACGGGGGCTGTATATCTTGAATCTTGTCACCCCTCTTTTGGGAGAGCGACGCTGATGAGTGAAGGATTTACGGAGTTTTATTACGCCGTGCATTTATCTCAAACGTTACTCATGCAAATTAAGATCTCCGCCCGAGCGCGACGTGTTTCACTACGAGACCGAGTTACGGCGAAACGAGGTCTCATTGGCTGTTCGGAAAGATATATCTCTAATCTTCGATATCTTTTTTACCCTACAATTTACATATCTCACTACACGTTTCTCCGTACGGAGTAAAACTGTAATGTATTTGGTATAATTATTTGGAGTTCAAAATTACACGGTACCAATAATTTTGAAAGAGGTTTCGTGTCGCTATCGTCATATGTTCTATCATGGTTCGCAAAATGAGTAACATATGACGATAACCATGGTACTTACCAATGAGTTAATGCCAGCTCTTTTCGTAGGAATTTCAGTAGCACGTGGTCCCGATACATATAGAGAAATTACACGTTCGAAAGGATTGCTTTCCGTATGGCGGAAAATTAAATGCAACTGTCGGATCGTCACTAATTCGGTTCGATCGTGGTTTTCGAGGGTGCGTAGAATGCTTGTAAATATAAATACCATTCGCGGTGCGAGTAGGGTTGCAATTGAGGGTCGTGAGCCAGTGTGTCATACGGAGCAATCGCAGTATTGGATAGAGGGATTCTGAACGACTATGCCAGATAGTGACTGATCGCTCTTTATGGATGAGCGAATCGAGAGATTAATAGCCGGAAGAAGAAAAAAAAATGCACCCCTAAATCATTTAATAGGTAATTAGCCGAATGGCAGTTTGATTTTTCCATCCATCTTATAATCAGCAATTAGTTTCATTAAAGTTCTCGAATACTCGTCGATATTTATCTTCATTATTTTTATTGCTTAGAATTCGTCTTTTCTAGGTTTCCAATTTGTTCCTCTCTCTTCTCTCAAGGAAAAGACACTCATGGCAAAAATATTTAATAAACTACCTGACTCAAGCGCGTGTCATTCCACGAATCCATTCCATTGGTCATTGTCCCCGTTTGCTGAATATTTTATTACGTAAGGACATTTCGATAAAATTACAGACTCGAGCCAAACCAGCCAGACATACAATAATGATGTGGAGGTAAGATATGTATTATGTTCTGTAGAAGTCAAGAGTTCATTCAGACTACTCCAGCCGTCGGGTGTCGCTTACGAGTCAAATTGCACCGTAATCACGTTGAGTTTTTTATTCGAAATAATTTATTTAGCTACACTACGAAAGCACACGACACTTATACGAATCAAGTGGAAGTATTGCGCAAGACGGGAATTTATATTTTATCAAGCAACGTCATTCTTCCTTAATCCGTTCTTCGTCTGCACCGATTAGACTTTTTCCTTTGTTTCAGGGAAACAAAAAAAAATCGATAGCAAAATTTTCTCAAAAATATTTTCCCATTTACAATATTACACTGTAATACATATATCATCTGACACGTAATCCTTGTCTGAAATGAAAACCAAACGAGGCCCACGAAAAGGTATCGTTTTTCAAGTGTAAAAATGACGATGCTATCGGGTAGTTGGACTAAGAAAAAAAAAGAAGGGATTGTGCCTCATTTGATTATACGTTACAACGAAACGGCACGTCGTTCCGGTAAAATTACAGTAGTGCGCACCCTAAGCTCTTTTGTGGTCGAGAAAGAAAGAAAGAAAGAAAGAACGAAAGAAAGACATTCTTTCAGCGTGAGCATAGGTTCCAGGTAGCTTCCTGGATAATTTAACCCCTTTATGCAGATTCGAGGGTGGGCGTACGTTATAGGTAGGCCACTCGTGTGCACATATGTAACACGTTAAACGTGCGTGCGTAAGCGCGCGCGCGGCCATGAAAATTATGAAAGGCAAAGCCACGGATTTCTCCGACTACCTTGCTAATGAGGGAGGCAAGTCTTGGGTACGGCGATATGTCGCATAAACTTCCCAGGAACATGCTGCTGCCCGCTCGGTTGACCACGTACCAAAAGAAACGAGAAACTCCAGAGGAAGAGATACAAGTCAACGGATTCGGGTAGAGCGTGTTCCGTTCTCCATAATGGCGTGCCGACTGCGCTAATGATTCGAATATTTTTCATTTAGAAAATCAACAGTACTCCCCGTAATGAATTTCTACGCGGGACGCATCGACACCGCTGGCAAAGATTTCAAAGCCTGTTATCGAGTGTAATATAATAACACGGTACATTTAGAATGCCAAACGTAAGTACACCTATCGCAATGAAAACTCCGTACCACTAGGAAACAGTAGTAGGGTAGAACGAACTTTCATGGATGGTTTCTATTTCAGGTAGGAGGATTACACAGCGAAGGAGAGTACACGAGGCTATATCCAACGCGAGGGAGATACGTGCTCCTCGAGCTTAATAGCTCGACGATGACATCGTGGCTCCACCTACTCCTCTCTATAATTGTCCTCCATTACTGCACTGATAACCGTACTCTCCGCGAGTCGTGCGTTGTCCCTCATAACATCCATTACGCCACCGCGGCTACTGCATCGCGAGATACATTATCGTGCACATGCAGCATGCACACGTGAATCGCAAGTGCATAAGCAAATTACCAGAGGAAAAAGAATAAGAAGAAGGCATCGTTTGGAATCTCTGTATCACGTTAGGATCGTTGTAACGAGATCATCGTCCCACGGCGTCCATCCAGGTCTGACTGTATTTAGATAAGAACCAAGCGAAATATTTCATAAAATTAATTGAACCAATTCTTTCAGATAGCAAAATCTTCTTGGGCAGACTCAATCCCGGCCAGTGAATTCTCTCCTGAACGCGGCGCAGCGTTTACGGGAGCAATCGAAGCGTGACTCTCTGGTGTCCTGTGTCCTGCGTCCTGTGTTCTACGTCCCGCGTGTTCTTTGACCGTGACCACGAAGCGTGGCAGTCGTGCGTGTGTCACTCAGTGACTCCTGGCCTCGCGGATCACTCCTACTCCGCCCAGAACGTGCACGCGTGCTTTCTCCCGGGGTTCGTTCCTTGTCCCTTCTTGACCCTCGCCAGTCCTCTCCCGTTATATACTCGCCGGTGCTGCCCCCCCTCGGTACTCTATCCCGTAGTTTCTTTATATCATACTATAGTATAATCCAGGCATAGGTAGATGATACCCCCCTCGGGTATGGCTTCTGTTCCCCTCGCCGAACACTCCTGACCAACCCGATGCTGCTGCTGGCCGCCGCTGTGGCTGCTGCTGACGAAGCGTCGACTTCAGGAGGGCACGACGCTGCTGCTCCTCTCTGCTCCTAGGGGTGGATGACTTCGCTTGGCTCTTCGCGGTCTCGTGTTCCTCTCCAGGCCGAGGAACTACTGTTTGCCACATGGCCTCTCCTCTCTTTTGCTCTCTTACCCTTACTCCTGCTCTACTCTCTATCTACCTACTGCACGCTGCTGGCTTATACTCGGTCTCTCTCGTTCCCTCGCTGAAACGTCTGTCCAGCTCCGTCCCACGCGCTCGTACTATCCGCTCCCTGTGCGCTGCTGCTGCTGCTGCTGCCAACCTCGCCGCAATTATTGCTAGCGTTCTGGCCTGACGTGACGTGACGGCAAGCCCATGTGGGGGTCAGCCTTTGGGGTTAGGCGAAATTACGCTGGGGAGACCAGCCCGAGGAGTAAGCGCGGATACGCGTGCCACGAGTTGTACGTCCTATCGCCACGCTCGAAATCTCACGTACGTGCTGTACGGGTAAAGGGTTACCGAGGTGCTCGCTACCGTGAGTGGGCAGAGTGGCAAAGGCTCTTTGGGACTGACGTGCGTGGCGAATCACGGTTCCAACTTTTGGCCGTACCGATACTCTACCTCTGATCACTGTACTCTTCGTTGTCCACTCGTGCGCGATGGACCGTTAAATATTGTGGCAAAGACAAGCGGCCTATCGCAATGGCTATGGGGATCCATGGTTTTAATAGATCTCACCAGGTCAACAAGAAAGCAATGAGTGACCTTCAAAGTGGCCAGATAAAACAAGATATTACAGTGGGCGTAAGAAAGGGCAAGGTAGTACACCGCTTAGAAAGCACTTCTCGTGATGTAGTCGGTCAGTCTGTACGACGGTTGGTTCGTCCGACCAGATAGACCCGACCGGGCAAGAGAGCCGCCGGGGAAAGGAGAGAAGAGGAGGTGATGGCTGATAGAGGAGCGCAGAGAGGAGGAGCAGGGAGTCCGAGTGAGGGAAAATCAAGAGAGAGGGAGAGCTGGAATAACCAAGCAAGAGATAGGACCGAGGAAGAACAAGATCGAAGTGGATAGAACGAGAGAGAGCGAGAGAGTGAGAGCTATGGGGAGGTGGGAGGGGCGTGACTCGCCCGTGACATCGCGATTACGCTCGCACACCTGTGCTCAACTCAGCTTCGACTTAAGTCAGCCACTTACTTTAGCAGTCGTCACGTGCTGCAAGAAGCGAGCCACGCGTCCACTCAGTCCTCGGGGTTGGATGCAGTTTTATTTGATTAGCTTCTTAGGGTTTTACGTACCTTCTTGTATACGCACGTATATAGATGGGGGGGGGGGTACCCAGTGCCTCCGATCTGCTACAGAAGTCCGACCCCGTGACTGCGATCGGCAGATCTCGGCAGGATGAGGAAGATACATTTCGAACGTTCTGACGGGCCTATCTATTTACTTGTTCAGTACGCATGCGCGCGAGGATGCATTGACCGGTACCGTTAACTGCATCCTGCAGCAACACTTGGCTTCGGTATACCAACAATATTATCTTGGCGGGAAATTCAAAAGATGAAGTCGTTATATCCCCTCGTCACGTAAGATATCGTTCGTGCTACGGTAGTCACTTTTCTCCAGGCTGCACTTCGCTGAGTTTGATTAGTTCTTCTGGTTTTGTACTCCTTCTTCTTGTTCGGCTACCGTTCGCTACCTCGATCCTTTCCAGGATTCGTGACTAGGATTCACCCAGGCTGAAAGCCTACTGTATTGCCGGGGTACGTGCCTCCTCTTTTTTTTTCTTTTCCTTCCACTTTTACACTTTACTGACGAAAGTCAAGACTTACCGCATCCACGTCGTTTATCTATCCCCTTTATTACGTTACTCGTACCCTTCAATCTTCTTCTCTTACTCTTCTGCCTGCTGCGTCCTCTCGACTAGCACTATCGTGATCGTGGAAATCGATAGGCCCGTCGGTCACTCTCCCCCGAATCGCCTTGCACTTTCCTGGTAACTCGGGAACGAGGCGAGGAGAAGCGAAGCAGGACAAGTAGGCGGGAGGACGGAGAGAGAAAGAGAGACGTAGGATGAACATCGGGGAAAGAGGCTGTGGCGCATGCCACAAGTGTGCCCAGCACGACTCCTATTAGGTTACAACCTGGCACTCTTCGTCTACGGTTTAGTGTTACAACATGTTATGTGACATATTACGCTATGGAAGCCCTATTTGGTCACAATGGACACACATTCTTCGCGTTACGCGTTTCAGTTATACTTCGACGTAGAGATACGAGGACGTGGAAACGCGACAAATTAATCTGTCCCGTGCCGAAGATGCTGCGTCTGCTCCCAGCATCCTCAAGTATTAATTAACTGTAGCCTTGAAACTATTGACCGATCTGAATAATATCTAGCGAGGAGTCTTATGCGTGACAGATGCGTAACGTACGAATATCAGGAACATGTCAAATCTGCTATAGCGCTCTGCCGAACCACGACCTACGGTAACCGTAAATCAATATTCCTGACCTACGTTCAAACTGCGACGTGCGAAAGAGAATATAGAATGCGGGAACAGCTGTTACTGTCGCCCGCAGGTTTTGTATTAAAAAAGGAAATAATTATTAAACATCGTATACGTCACGGATGGAATTCTGTCGTTTGACGAGTAATAAGACGTCGATTAGCATCGTTACGATACGGTGGGTCAATATCGTGGGAGCTATAGCGAAAGAAAATTCTACGAGCGTCTTGCATCCCGGGATGAACTTTCAACGTAGCAGTCCACGTCTGAGAATATGGGAGCCGTATCAGATCCAATGAAGTCAATACGGACAATAACTCGATAAGTAGATAATAACGCATAATATAATAAGAGGCACGGCCGTTTATTTGTACGTGACAGAGTGTTGGGAGCACGCGCCACATTGAGCTACCAATTCAATCTCAACTAGGCTTAACAGCTGTACTCGAGCAGCAACAACTTTAACAAACTAACGTAATTGTTGATCTCAGTGACGCGGACGATCGAGTGGATGTACATATGTACCAATATGAGAACTAACCGATCGCCAATTGGGTCAAGAAGATTTCTGTGCTCGAGCACTTGGTTGTCACCTTAAATAGACGAATCAATGAATCAAGGAATAACGATTCACGAGGTGTAATCAAGCATTACAGAATATATCGTGTATAAACTTCATGCTTGAATTTAATAATGTCGAACGGCTCAAGATTATACGGATAAAGACGGCTATCCTGGAATCTATGAATACATCCTCGGCTTTCGAGTCCTAGTTGAGTTACCTATCCTTTAGCACCCCATAACTCATACACCCCATGCATACAGCGTGTAAATTACCGTGGGCTGAAGGCAGCCGTACGCCGTACAGGAAAGAGCAAATCGGTAGAGCATGCCTGTGGCTGCGGCGCGAAGTACGTAGGAGTTTACTGGCTTTGCCGGGCTTGCGGGAAATTCAGTGAAGGCGTATTAGAAGCGAGCAGCTTCGTACGCTGGAATAATAGAAAACTACGCGGAATTCGGGCGGCATGGAAAAGCACGTCGGTGAATTGGCGAGGAAGGGATTCGTATCTGAGTCGAGGAACGAATGTGAAAGTAAAGTAAAAAAAAATGGAATAGCGGGTAGAGCGAAGGAGTCGAATGGAGCAAAGGAATAGGTAAAAAAGAAAAAGAAAAAAAAAGAAAGAAAAAGAAAACACGGAAACGAATAGGCGAGCATGGACGCGAGCGAGAAGAAAATGTTAGGTAGGTAAAAGCAAGGGAGTGCAATTACCCACTGGCAACGTGAAACAAACTAAAAGGAGGAAAAAGATCGAGAGAGAGAGAGAGAGGAAGACGAGGAGGAGGAGAAGGAAGAGGTAACAGAGAGAAATAAGAGAAACGCTGTGACGCGTTCTACGGTGGATAGTGAGGGGGAGAGAGAGAGAGAGAGAGAGGAGCAAAGAGTTCAGTTCCTGGCAAGAGGAGAGGGAGCGAGAGAGTGAGAACGAGAGGAGTAAGAAGGGATAGCAAGATTACCATATAATGGTGCCCCGAGGGCGCATAAGCTGCGCCACAACGTTATTTCTTCGTCCCTTTTCAACGAACAGTGGAAACGGTACTCTCTCTCACTCTCTCTCTGTCCCTCTAGTCTCTTTACCCTCATCCTTTTTTCTCCCCCCCGTTTCACCTCCGCCGGTGACTTTTTTTTCTCTCCAATATTCTCTCGCCATCTCCTCTCTCTCTCTCTCTCTCTCTCTCTCTCTCTCTCTCTCTGTCTGTTCTCCCTCCTTCCTCCTTCTGTCTCTCTCCCTCTCGCAGGAAGAAACAGAAAACTTGTTGCAAGCAGCGTTGCGTTGTCAAGTCAGTCAAACGTAATCCGCCTACTTATGCCTCGCCACGCTAAGATCATTTTCTAGCTCGCACACATGTGGGCATACGCGTCCATCATCATCTCGATATTACGCGATATGACATAAGTAATCACGCGCGACTCGCGTTCGAATGGGACGTCGCGCGTACGTTGCGCGCAAACGAGATTTCTTTATTTCCAGCGGCGGCGGCGCACGTACTCGACTGGCCAGAACGAGCCGAGTAATGTGCAAGAAGTCGAAGAAATGGAAATGCAAGAGCGCGAGAATGATTATTGTATTATTAATACGGCATTAACCGGTAGCGGAGGAGGAGCAAGGAGAATCAGTTTCCTCGGTACGGAATACGGAGACGTGCAAATAAGCAGAGAACTCGCGGACTAACGCTGTCCAGAATATGGGCGTCGAGGATGGCCCGAGCGAGTGACGAGCGTCGGGAGCAAAACGAAGGACGATAAAAAGAGAGGAGCACCGAGGAGAAAAGAGGCCGTCGGACGAGAGCTAGAGAAAAAATTGATAAAACTTGTAAAGCGAGCGACGGCCCGAGTGGCTGGGTAACGAATGCATATACATATACTCAAGGTGGATCCGTAAGGCCCAAAGGATTCGTATGGGGCATGAGCTGAGTTACGTCTCACATTTTGACGTCTTCGGGCAGCACGTGACTCGTATATTTACAAACGTCACATATGCACTGGTCGCTTTGGTTAATACACGTACAAACATTGGGATTCGGAGTGTGCGTCGCACACGTCTTTCCTGCGGGAGAGGGAGGGCAGCTTGGGAAAGGGAGGGTATATAGGGTCCACGGCGCGGCAGGCACAGCGAGCACGGTGCGCCTGCCATGGAGGCAATGAACTTCACCTCGCTATACGAAGCGCGATGGCTTTTATGTGTGTATAATGGCCCATGTTTATGCTCTCGTACATACGTCGAGTAGGTACACATTATGTGCGTTCGAATACACACACGATATCTCCGCGTATATTCGTTTATCCGTTTAACCTCGCGCGCTTAAGCCTCCGAGGATGCGCGCGCATCCACCGGACTGTACGATACCGATTCGAATGTGAGCTGGTGAATGAAAAGTAAATTTTTTTCTTTTTTTTTTTCTTTTTTCAGAAAATTAATACAAGCGCTGTCAATTATAATTGTCGTGTATAGGAGAGGAATGAAAAAAAAATGACGTTTCAGTGTTTATCGCGATAAGATCATTGCTGATTTTACTCGGTGGGATTTTAATGGGACTAATTAAAAATTATCGATCGTTCCAGTGTCAAGGGGGGCTTCCTAGAGCGGTAATTAAAGATCTGGGGTTAAATATCTTCGTGGAGAAGGCATGATTCATCTAATACTGGCTATTAGTGTCGTTTTATATTGCCGAGGGTACAATTAGTACAGGGATGTATGAGGGAATTGCTGGATATGGATGTAACTGTATTTTAATTGCCAATGGAACCGATAGGTGGCTGGACTAATTGGTGGGAGGAAACACCTAGCGCGCGAAAGTCCCTCGCGGGCTTCGGACTTTCCGCGAAATTATCAATACCGAGATCTCATCACCGGCACCGGAGTTCCTATGCAATTTTCTTAAGTCCAGCCACTTATTCTCATTTACGTTCACGTTTACATCATCGCGGCAGTAAAGCGTTACTGCTGTGCACAGGTGCGCCCTGCTTTTTATTCCTGCTCCGTCCGTGTTCCGTCGTTCCTTCGTTCCTCGGTTCCTTC